GCGGGGCGGAGGCTGAGCCTGGGGGAGGGGCCTGCGGCCGCGGCCCCGCCCCTCAGAGCTTTGCGTTGCCGTAGAAATAATCAGATCTGCACTTATAGCTCGGATTTTCCCGGGTTTGAAAATCCAGCCCACCGCCTGAGAGAGGTCTAGACTACGCTGCTCTCTTACCTATGAAGAAGCGCTAGGACCTTTAATTGCACCATAATCTTAAATTTTTCTTTTTTTTACTGGGAGAAATTTTAAAAATCCAGGTCAGACAGCTCCCTACATCATTGTTATTGCCGAGGTAGTTTGTAGCCATTGTAAAGACCAAAAGAGTATTAACACAAAAGGATATTAATAAACGTCTGAAAACTTTTTATCAAAGTAAACTAAAATAATTCTGAAAGGCTTATAATGAAAAGGAATTTTACTGCCTTAACCTTTCCCATTCCCAGTCTCTTTCCCTTGAGGTTACCTCCACTTAGCTATAATAATAATAATTAATAATCTCTTAATGCCCATTTCTCCTTCATACAATAATTTGTCTTTATTTCATCCTGTTCCTTCACCTTCTTATTACAGTGTCTTAGTACTTTATTATGAGTTTTTTCTAAAAGTCATGGTTATTGTGTAATGTATAAATGTTATGAAACTAGCTTGGAGTTTTGTGTGTGAATAATTTCTAGCTAATGTTAGTGGAATTTGGGCATCTGTTTTTGGTAAAGTGATTAGAATTTTGAACACTATCTTCATGGGTCAACTTCAAATGTGATTATGATTTCACTTCAGGGCATGTGGGATTTAGATGGGGTCAGTGAAAATTATGAAATTATCAGAGCTGCTTTGGATGTTAATTAAGTCCATTGCATCAAACCTGAGCTGTGTGATCTGCCTAGAGATCAGAGCTGTCATTTGTTTTGTTTTGTTTTACAATGTGGTTTAATAGAAATTTCATTTACGTCAAGTAGTATTTTTTATAATGCCTCAGAAAAATGGGTAATGCTGTGTAACCCCGAAGCTTTCATATGTGTGTGTTTTTGTTTTATTTTTCTCCCAAAGGCCATTATTTACAGTCACAAAAGGAAACTGTTGCCTGGCATTCTCACCAGTTTTCTACCTGCCATGATCAAGTGCTTGTCAGCTGAAGTACAAGCCAAATTGCGTTCTGGTTTGGCCATATGCTCCTTAGGCCAATGTGTGGAGGAGCTTGCCCTCAACAGTATTGATGCCGAAGCAAAATGTGTGGCTGTGAGGGTGAATATGGAAATCTTCCAAATCCAAGTGATAGACAATGGATTTGGGATAGGGAGCGATGATGTAGACAAAGTGGGAAATCGTTATTTCACTAGTAAATGCAACTCCTTACAGGACTTGGAGAACCCAAAGTTTTATGGTTTCCGAGGGGAGGCCTTGGCCAGTATAGCTGACATGGCCAGTGCTATGGAAATTTCATCCAAGAAAAATGGGACAATGAAAACTTTTGTGAAACTGTTTCAGAATGGAAAAGCCCTGAATGCCTTTGAAGCTGACTTGACTAGACCAAGTGCTGGGACAACAGTAACAGTATATAACCTATTTTATCAGTTACCTGTAAGGAGGAGATGCATGGATCCGAGACTGGAGTTTGGGAAGGTTAGGCAGAGGATCGAAGCTCTCTCACTCATGCACCCTTCCATTTCTTTCTCTTTGAGAAATGATGTTTCTGGTTCCATGGTTCTTCAACTCCCTAAAACCAAAGACATATGTTCCCGATTTTGTCAAATTTATGGACTAAGTAAGTCCCAAAAGTTAAGAGAAATAAATTTTAAATATAAGGAGTTTGAACTTAGTGGCTATATCAGCTCTGAAGCCCATTACAATAAGAATATGCAGTTTTTATTTGTGAACAAAAGGCTAGTTTTAAGGACAAAGTTGCATAAACTCATTGACTTTTTATTAAGGAAAGAAAGTATTATATGCAAGCCAAAAAATGGCTCTGCCAGTAGGCAAATGAATTCAAGTCCTCGGCATCGGTCTCACCCAGAACTCCATGGGATATATGTAATCAATATACAGTGCCAGTTCTGTGAATATGATGTGTGCATGGAGCCAGCAAAAACTCTGATTGAGTTTCAGAACTGGGATACTGTTTTGGTTTGCATTCAAGAAGGAATGAAGATGTTTTTAAAGAAAGAAAAATTATTTGTGGAATTGTCAGGTGAAGACATTAAGGAATTAAGTGAAGATAATGATTTTAGTTTATTTAGTGCTACTTTTCAGAAGCATATGTCTTCTGATGAGAAGTGTGACAGAGTCAGTTTCCAAGAAGCATGTAATAATATTTTGGATTCCTATGAAATGTTTAATTTGCAATCAAAAGCTGTAAAAAGAAAAGCTACAGAAAACATAAACACACAGAATTCTAGGAATTCAGAAGCGATCAGAAAACAGACAAATGATTCATTTTTGTATACTTATGAATCTGATAGTCCAGGTCATAGTAAAATGACAGAATCAACTTTACAAAACAAAGATAGCTCTTGTTCAGAATCAAGGGTCTTAGAACAAGAGAGACCTGAAGCGTCAGAATCAGGAGAAAATGAGAAACATAAAAAATATTGCTTGGAACTTAACTCTTTAGAAAATCCATGTGGAACCAATTCAGAAATGCCTGCAAGCCCTTTTCAGACATTAGATCACTTTGAGGAGAGTGGAGATCTAGAAATACAGAAAGCAAGTACTACTGTTAATGACATGGCTGCTGACATCCTGAAAAAGAACAGAATTCAGATTCAACTAGAGACATTTAAAGGTGCTACTGAAATGGGATGCCAACCTCTGCCTTCTGAGACAACATTACTGAGAGTACATGGTGCTCAGGGGGAGGGAGAGAAAAGAAAAAAAGAACCTAGTAATTGTGGAAGAAATGTTTTTAGTTATGGACAAATTAAACTGTGTTCCACTGGCTTTATAACTCATGTGGTACAAAATGAGCAAACTGAAACAGAACATTTATTTAAAAATTGTGTTCGACCTGGTCCTGTGAGTGCCAAAGAAACACTTGGAAATAGAACATGCCATTCAGTTGAGACTCCAAACATCAAAGATTTAACCAGCACTTTAAGTACAGAATTTGCTCAATTGTCTAACAAAAAATTGTGCAGAACAAATATAAGTTCTA